CGATAGGTACCTTTCTTTTTATATAATTTTGTAATGCTGTAATTTGAAAAATATTACTTTGAAATAAAAATTTACAGTTTATTTTATGAACTAATGCCACGAGGAGATATGTTTTTCCTATCTGTCGTCAATAAGAACGCATTTTTATCATATCAATAAACGTCAAATTGTGCGATCTGTGCTCCGGTCTTTTCAAAAATAACACCTTACTATTCCTTGAACACAAATTATGACTATTTATTTAACATTATCAGTAGAGATACACAGCAATCCATCTTGATTGCTTGTAACTGCAAGGTCTTAGGCCAAGCTTGTTTTCTTCTTACTGTCTTAGCTCCTGATTGGTTGGGTAATTGTACAAGGAGCCTTCCTTGTACAATTACCCAACCAATTAGGAGCTGAGATGAGCTTTCTGTCAGGTCTGCTCTGGTTGGCATGACTGTTTCGACTTGTTCAACCAATCAGTTCCATAGAACGTTGATCTGACAAGTAAAAGCTTGACTTATCGTGTTACCATTCGAATCTTTCTTGATAGCTCTTGTCTCGAGCATCAAACTGAGCTGTTTCAAGCCTGTTTTATACAATCATGTAACTATCAGTCAATTCATCATGAGAGACAGTTTGTTTGATTTACACAAGCACAGCCGACTATCCTTCTGGAACACCCAGGAAGTCACTCCCTTTTTGAACACAGAGATGCTACGTTTAATCGCGCTTGCATCTTGTCATCCTGTTCCTTATAACCAGACTCCTGTCCCTCACTTGTGGATGATGCTGGTGTTTTTTTTCTTTTCTGACTGTCATTGCCTGCCTTCTCTGCTGCCTTCAAGCAAGATTCCATTTCCAGATCACGAGTTCGGTTATGCTCCACAACCCTTGAGTTCACCGGCCAGATGGCCGAGTGATCAAGGTGGCAGTCAACCACTCTGGGGGATACGGGTTCGAATCCGAACGGGTCGAAAAAACCCCAGAAATTTTTTGGGGGTGGTCTGTTTAGATAGGTCAGGCTCTGTCTTTCACCATCTGGCCACCCCATTGTGGGTCTGGCCTGGCCGTACCCATAATGGGCTTGCAAAAACAACTCTCTTAGTGTCCACATGGCAGAAAGAACTAAAAAAAACCCTTGAGTTCTGTGCTAACAACCTCTCTCTTGCCCATGTTTTCCTATTACGTTTTAATAGGGCCTTATAATCTCTTACCAATAGCAACACGTCTGCCCTCCTGCTCTAACTTGTTAGTGATAGTGCATGTCATGATCTGGGTTTTCCATAACTCCTCGTTGCCTTCCTCCCTCAGAAGTATTGNGGTTCGAAACCGAATGGGTCGAAAAAACCCCAGGAATTTTATGGGGGTGGTCTGTTTAGATATTCAGGCCCTGTCTCTCACCATCTGGCCATCACCAAACCCCATTGTGGGGTCAGGCCAGATTCATAATGGGCTTGCAAAAACAACTCTCTTAGTGTCCACATGGCAGAAAGAACTAAAAAAAAACCCTTGAGTTCTGTGCTAACAACCTCTCTCTTGCCCATGTTTTCCTATTACGTATACAATATGGTCTGTCAAAAAATACCTTAAAACTTCTTGAACACAAATAAAGATTGTTTATTTAACACTATTTAAAGAAACACACAGCACTTTATCTTGATTATATCTATTGTACATTTGTACAGATATACAAAAGTAATAGCTGGTTGATGAGGAAATAGGCTTTTCATTTTTCAAACAATATACTGTACTTTGAAAATTTTTGATAATCTTTTTTGCTTATATTTAATTTTAGAGTCGAAGTAGTACATTCGTATCAAAATTAACATAAATCTTAGCAAAAATGTTTCTCAATGGTAAAAATGAATCACTTCTCTAACAATTTTTCTGCTAATGTTACATTGTTTTTTAATTCCCTTTCCCTCTATGCAATAAGAGTTTCCTGCAAAGACAAGGAAGTAAATTTTTCTGTCTATTTTGTCTCACCTCAGTTTGAAGGATTTTTCAAATAGACATAACATCAGACTGTAAAAGACTTTAAGTTTAGTTATTTCGTTACCACATAATCTTGCTTTGTAGAATGACTGTGCTCAAATTCTTTCAAATGTTTCTTCTTCGCCTTGACAATTTGGTGTTGTACATATGGTATCTGTTAGCGGCGTGTAGTCTTTACATTTGGTACATATAAAAATGATATGTGGAATGTTATATGTAACACTTTGTGATAATGTTCTTTACTGGTATCACACTAATGTTACTGTGTAGTTTTCCTGCGGTCAGTAGGTTTATAGGAACACTTATCGTTAATGTCTAAACAAAATTTTAAAAACACTATTGTCCGTTCATTAAACGAAAGATAAACTTTAGACGTATAATTAATTTTGTGAGCATCCTTTTTTCGCTATTGCGCAAAATAGGGACAGTTAGGCCTGCTCAATTTGTAACTGGATGACGTTTATTCGTAGTTCAAAGTAAGATCGAAAAACCTTACATTTATTTTTTCCTCACGCCAGTTAGGATAGTAAGAATTCTCGTCCTAACTAGCAAGTATAATTATAGTTCAATTCATGTCAAGTAGGAATGTTCAGTATTTCGAGTGGGAAAATCTATCTAGAGTTTCATCAGTGAGAGTCGGTAGGTTTGTCGATAGGTGACCAGAAATCCAAGAAAATATAACTCGAGATCCAGATAAAAATTAACAACAGTTTAATAAATAATACATAGAGGTTAAACACAAAGGAGATTAAACGATGTCTACGTCGATAACAATTTAAATTCATTGCGAGAGATAAATTCCTCATTTGCAAGACGAAGAGACAGAGTTTACAATAAATGCATAATACCTCGTGTAGACAAATACTTGTCTTCTTGTAGTGTTGAGACAGCATTGGTGTAGTGGCTGCGGAATTCTCTAAAGCGTATTCTTAGAGGAGATACCTATAAGGTTTCGATATGACAAGAGCTAACGTTATGGATGAAGAAACGAACATAACACAATTAATAAATAAGTAATTTAATATTTCAAGCTTACCGGCTAGAACAATCAAACATGGCGATCTGCGGCGACAACAGCGCCGCCACTAAACAAAACAAAATGAAACTTTACATACCAGAGACAAGTCTGTCAGAAACAGAAAGGTGAGTGTCTGTCTCGAACTTTCGGTCTTTGGTTCTTTTATCTCGTAAAGTCCTTCCAATTCTGGGGTGTAATTCTCTCACGAAATGTAAATCTAATGCTGCTTCCTACTTGCAGCTGCCTGCTCTACGCGTGAGGAATGATTACTCAACAGGAAAATGATATAAACAACGAGAGGTGCTTTTTCTTTTAGTCACTAGCTTAACTATATCACAAGAATGTTACCGCAGCGATTTTTCTCTCCCAAATATTACTGTAACAAAACTATTGTTTCATGCCTCCAGGCTCTCACAGTTTACTGTAATGTGAAAAGTTATCCGCTTCATGACAAAGTGAATTCGACTGTAGACATTTGCATAGAAATCTGACCTGGTAATAATTTTATCCATTTACAAAAAATAAACAGTCATTGAAGCCCAAGTCAGACTTACACTCAAGTCAATTTCATTGAGTCAATATGATAATACATTTTGTACTGTTCGACCGATAATGATTTATATTACAAGTGCTGTACCAAAAATCTATCAGGCAGAGAAAAAACATAAATACTAATGACCAGAGTGGCTTTTTGATGAGAGAAATGCAGCATTTGTTATCTGGCATAAAGTTTCATAGTGTCATTTGAAATGAATTTTTCTTAATCTCGGCGTGCAGTTCATGTTGATAAAAGTTTGGTGTTTCTAACTACGTAAGTGTTGTGCGCAAGGTTAACAAGATTAGTAGCAAGGTTAACAAGATTAGTAGCAAGGATAACAAGATTTCCTTGTTAACCTTGTTAGTCATTTTGCCTAACTTGTTTAAATTATTTTTTGATGTAGATGATGTTATATCAGTTTGTTTTGGAATTATATCGACCCATGGATTTTTTTATAGATGTGATTTTAAGCTATAATCAGATTTATAAAAAGTCAATTACTGAAAGTTAATAAATGATGTTTCTCAGGAAGTTATAATGTGTCTTGGAAGATCTTATTTTGTTATAATCCAGATTTGTCTTTGTATTGCAGCAATTGAAAATGATAAATTATATATCCGATATGACAAAGTATAATCGACTGTTGTTTTTGGTTATACTAAATACAGTTAATTGCCCAAGATAAAAATAAACTATAATTTCGGTAAGTTATCAAAGAACGGTTATAGTTTTAAGTCTACGTTTTCCACCATCAATATAGAGTCACCTTTTACCACTGCTAAATTAAAAAATTATAGGTATGTTGATAAAAATGTTTATTTTGTTTTCAGAAACAAAAGTTTCCAACGTGCGCAATGAATGAATTAATCATATACAATATTTACACCAAATTTAAGTAGATGACAAGAAAGGCGAAAGTAGTTACATTAGTTTTTCATCTGATTGCTTCCTACAGCCATGTGATCTACCGATAAGCAGGAACGTTGTAGTTCCAGTTTACAGATCTAGCAACTTCTCTAGATATGGGAACCGGAACTGTAATGTTTTATATGCTCTTGCCTGTAGACAAATGACTAAAAGCAATTCACACTGGTAAATAATACAGGCTCTTAATTCACCAAAGAGCGGTCCACGTAATTTCTCTTTGTTTTGTACGGTATCTGACATCAGTCTAAAAACCAGTTTTTTATCAAAAGTTTTTATTGGTAAATTTTTTTGATAAACTTGTTTCGTATTGATTTCTGAGAACTTAATTCAATGTAACACATTTTCTATGCAGCAAAACTTGTATATTACGGAATCTTTACTATCAAGTATACAATATGTGTAAGTTTTAATGACAGTTGTACCACAAATTTTACATAGTGATATATCGTATTAAGTTTTTTATACGTATTTTTTGTGCTATAATGATACAGTTATGTAGATTCGTAATGTACTTTTCTTAATCCATTTTATGTCAAGAACTGATTCCTGCATACAAAAAATAATTCGAGAAAAATTCAAATCGTGTACCGTGTTGACAATAGCCCATAGATTACATACAATTATCGATTCGGACAGAGTACTGGTAAGTTTCTTTTGTTTATAATATATAATAATTTGTTTTTATTTACGCATTTGAATCTTCTAGGTTTTAGTTAATGGAAAACTTGAAGAATTTGACAGTCCTTATAAATTACTGCAGAATGTAAATGGTACTTTTTATAACTCGGTAAAAAACACGGGAGTTACTTCAATGGATGAGCTATTTAAAATTGCTGAAAATAAATATTGTGTTCAAGAATGCATCAAAAGAACGAGATTATAAAATAATGGATTTGTCTCGATATATATTAACCTTTCGTAGATTTCGTGTTGCTTTTATATTAACCACTATTCGGAATCATCTCTTATAAATGCAGTTTGTACACGTCATCCAGGATACAACATTGTTAAAATCTTTAGTAAAAACTGTTAAAACTTAAGTAGTATTTATGACTCCTACTGTTAAATTTATAGGTTTTAAACGTTAATGTAATCAGTAATTTTTCTGACAATATTGTTAAAAACCTTTAGAATAGTTTATTTTTAGAAAATAAGTAAATTTTAAAAAAATACAGTCGACCCTCCTATAACGCAGTAGATACCTTCCACTTCATAAGAATTTCGAGTTGTAGAAATCCGTAAATACATGAGCCAATCACAGCCCGGCACATGTACAGTTTACGGACTACGATTGTTTGAAAGGTTTACTTCCATAAAATTAATCAATTCTGGACTAATTTAACTCAACATTTCCATATCATGTATAATTTTTGAGAATAATCAGTGTAAACTATGCTATAAACAAAAATTATAGGATTACTTACCGAGTGTGCACCGTTCGACCACGCCATTGCTTAAGCTTGTTTTCGTCGCGGAGGGGCGCACCAAACTGCGGGCGCGTTTTCTGATAAGTTATTTTTCTGCAAAAATTTCGTTGACCTTTGTAGACATTACTAATAGAAATAATTTTTATGGCCGTTGAATAAGAAGTGTTTCTTTAGAAGAANTAATCAGTAATTTTTCTGACAATATTGTTAAAAACCTTTATAATAGTTTATTTTTAAAAAATAAGTAAATTTAAAAAAAATACAGTCGACCCTCCTATTACGCAGTAGATACCTTTCACTTCATAAGAATTTCGAGTTGTAGAAATACTTAAATACATGAGCCAATCACAGCCCGGCACATGTACAGTTTACGGACTACGATTGTTTGAAAGGTTTACTTTCATAAAATTAATCAATTCTAGACTAATTTAACTCAACATTTTCATATCATGTATAATTTTTGAAAATAATCAGTGTAAATTATGCTATAAACAAAAATTATAGGATTACTTACCGAGTGTGCACCGTTCGACCACGCCATTGCTTAAGCTTGTTTTCGTCGCTGAGGGGCGCACCAAACTGCGGGCGCGTTTTCTGATAAGTTATTTTTCTGCAAAAATTTCGTTGACCTTTGTAGACATTACTAATAGAAATAATTTTTATGGCCGTTGAATAAGAAATGTTTTTTTAGAAGAAATGTATAAAATTACAGTATTGTATTAGATTTACAGTACCTAATTTATACTGTACAGACGATAGTAAACTCAACTTACCCGCCTAAACTCTCCGTAGCATGTAAGTAGTTTGGCTGCTCGTCCACTATTGGTCCAGATTCGATCAATCCTGTCGCGACACGAGTCGGCGATGACGTTTTTCCGCATTTTACGAGTCTGTTTTAGCGTGTTTATATGAATACGGTCGCAATTTTTTCGCGATATACAAATCCGCATTATATGAACCCGCGTTATAGGGGGTCGACTGTATAAACAAAAAAAAAAATAGTTCTAGAAATAGTTTATAACAACTTTTTGAAAAATTTTTATCAGAAAGATTTTAATTGAAAAGATAAATATAATACTAAAAATGAATTCCAGTATTAATTTGTATAATATGTATAAGCAAGAATATAAATAAAATTGTTCTGAATATTTTTTAATATGTATCTTTTGGTGTTTATACATTCATCAAGTTCGTGGATCAAAGATTTTTTTATTATTGTTGTGTGAGGGCAGCACAAAATTATTCATTTGAAGTGAAGTTGAATACTAGTTTTTTTAAACAGACAAAAATTAAATAATGTTTTGGGATGAATTACACATAGTTTATGAAGTATTACAAGGTCTTGTATGAAAAAGCGATAATGTAAATTATTGTAATTTTTATATTAAAATTTTTTTATAGATAATTTGAACTAAACTTATTGTAGAAAACTTTATATATCTTAGTGACATTGATAATATGTTATGAAAATTTAAACGTTATTTCAGGCGGTACGATTGTAATGATTGGTACCTGTTTTACATGTGACAAGCTGTACTATGAAATACTTTAAATAACCTTCATTTCGTTATTACAAAAAATTATATTATTTCAAAAAAAATTTACTGTAAATTATATTACAGTAAACTTTTTAGCAGAAATAATTGTAGGATAAAAAATCAAATTTTATTTCCTTTACCAAAAAAATCTAGCAATGCATTGTATATTTATTCCTGAACAAACACAAGATAAATTTACACAAATGAACATTCGTGTGATACCATCTGTACAAAATATTGTAAAAAATAACTTATATTATAAAATGGAAAATGTTTATTTTGAGAGTAAAAATGAATTTTATTAGAAAATTGTAAAAGCTGATAACAAGTAATATCTACAATAACTCTACACCAAATATGGGAAATTATAGGTCTACCATCTGTCTAAATTGCAGTTTTATTATTTACTCAAGTTTCAGCCTGATAAACAATTCATACGTTTGGTATGATTATTAAATAAAAAACTATCTAATTATAATCATTAATTTGTCAATTATGTTGACAAATTTGACATCCCTTTTTACTGGTAAACCGTAATGACGATTTAATAGGACTATTCACGTTCTCATAAAGTAGAAAAAAATTTATTTTTTTCTAAAATTATACATAAAAAAATCGATTTCAAAAATTTTTAAATTTGCTTTAAAAGTGCTTGATCGGAGCACCAGCACGAACGTTATTTTATTATTGTTCTATATTCTGCAAACAAAAACTATATATAAGAGGAGTTAACATAATAATGTAAGTATAACTGTAAATATATATTTTATTTAATGAGATTTCATTACATAGACATATTTGTAATTAATTTTGTTTTGTAACGTTCATAATTATTTTGTATTTCTGCGTTCAATAATTCGTTGTAGGTTGATAACACATTATATACGTAAATCTACAAACGTAACACACAGAATACGAATTCACACATATTAACAAATATGGAAAACGAAATTTTGTTGTTCCACTATGATTTTTATGTTATCTGCTCTATTATATATATAAAAAATGGCAAGTTTAACAAAAATTCAAAATTACACATTGCATTATTTTGCATGTTGCGAGTCATAAAATCTTGAAACATCGAAAAATATGTGAGATTCGAGGATACATTATTGTAAGAATATATTAATAATCTAAAACATTATTCACAATGGAGGAAGTGACATTCATCACTTAGGGAAAAAAGGAAATCAATTTCATTTCTCAGACGTCCTTATCTATAATTCGGATGACCATATGTCTGTTTACCTCCTCTGCACTCGTTACATATCCTGTGTGTTCCTCAGAAGCTATTGGGCAGAGGTCCCATTAAAAACGGAACTTTCCAGCCACTCGAGACAGTTTATAGAAATCCGGCATTGCCACATAGATGACGGCAGTTCAACAGAATCATAACATTCCACAGGAAGGCAGTTCATCGACAATTTATTTTGCCATAATTGAAGGCAGTTCTCTACATCTCAGAGATGCCATAGAAAAGACTCCTTGCCATAAGTATTTTAACTTTGTGCGCTTATAATAGAAAGAAGAGCCGCATTCATTTCCATTTCCCGCATCTCTACTTCAAACAGAAGACTACGAATACGACAAAAGTTGAGGTAGTATAATTTTACTATTGTGAACTCTTGCTCTCGCGAATAGAATACAGTAGTCTAAAAATTTAATGGTCTCTTAATATTTTGTATTCTATTTTATTTGTTTTAACTTTTGCTATTGATTATAATGGCTTTGTCCATTATTCTTGAGCAGAGCACGTATTGTGACACTCCCCACTCGTACCAGCCCTCCTACCGTGTTTCCCCGAAAATAAGACATCCGCAGAAAATAAGACCTAGCACAGATTTTGCTCAATTGCGAAATATAAGACCTTCCCCTGAAAGTAAGACCTAGCGAAGTTTTTTTAGTGGTAACGGTCATCGACAGATGGTTGAAAGTGGCCATTGGCTTTTTGAAAGTACAGCCACTGATTGGTCAGCAGACAAATACGCCACACGGCATGATTTGCATAAGACTATGGCTTGGGAATCAAGGATTTCCATAACGTTACGGCTGGTGATTGCTAATTCGTCGGCCGGGAATCACGCCACATGACATTTGCATAGTGCTACGGTTCAGTAAGCACTAATTGGTCATCGAGTCCGATGTTGACGCTATAAAAGGGCGACAGTTCGACACACCGGATATACGTCACTCTCGTCTAAGTTCGACTTGGAAAATTTTTTTGTTCAATAATAAATGTGAATTCTTCTTCCTGGAAAAAATAAGACATTCAGTGAAAATAAGACCTAGCGCACTTTTAGAGCAAAAATTAATATAAGACACTGTCTTATTTTCGGGGAAACCCGGTATCTGGTGTCAGTCCTGACGAGATTACGATTTTTTCGAATATTGATCTACATAAGCTCGAAAAAGCTATCGTTAGACAATGTGAGCGGACTGTGACGATCTGACAAGGAAAACGCGTTACTAACGGAAGTAATAACGACTTGTGTTGTCACAAATGCAAAAAGAAAACAAAAGCAATCGGGAGTTGTACTTTATGTATAAATGTTAGTGTGTGTTTTTGTGTGTACGGGCAATGTTGGTTTTAGCGATGAATTTTGGGTATTGTCTTTTTTGTTATAAATTTTTCAATATCAGTTATTTTGTACAATACAAACAATAAA